TTTTTGGACTCCATAAGCTCAAAAAACCAAAGAAACTCGAGGAAAACCAAAGAAAACCAAAAAAAACTCGAGAAAACCAAAAAACCAAAGCAGTCTTCCAAAACCAGCAAAGTCTTTGGTTTTTTGGTTTTCTCGAGGTGTTTTTGGTTTTCTTTGGTTTCTTCGAGTTTTTTTGTTTTCTTTGGTTTGTGGTATGTTGGTCAGTCTATTTGAAAAGGACGTGCCCTTGGACTCAGTACAGCAGCGCGCTCGGTTCTTTTCGCAGTCCAGCTTGCAGTGTCAGAAGCCTTTGGCTAATAGAGCAGACCACTCCACAGCAGGTGCGGGAGTTGCAACTTTTTGTTGCTTCCCGCCTGTTCCAGGCTTAATGCTTTCCACAATCTGTGGATCCACAAGCCATCCCTCCACAAACATGTCTTCATCTACATTGCAGAATGGAGAGTTCTCAGGGCCCACGAATGTATGTGGGCAAGTTCAAGCTGCTTCTCTTAACAATCCTTCGTCCCTTACGCCTGGCTCATTCGTCACAGCCTCGTCACTTCCTCATCACTTCCTCGTCACTTCCTCGTCACTTCCTCGTCACTTCCTCGTCACTTCCTCGTATCACTTCTGCATTACTTCGTCACTGCTTCATCACTTCCGCATCACTTCCTCATCACTTCCTCATCACTTCCTCATCACTTCTTTATTACATCGCCACTACTTCATCACTTCCTCATCACTTCCTCATCACTTCCTCATCACCTCCTCATCACCTCCTCGTCATCACTTCTGCATTACTTCGTCACTGCTTCATCACTTCCGCATCACTTCCTCATCACTTCCTCATCACTTCTTTATTACATCGTCACTACTTCATCACTTCCTCATCACTTCCTCATCACTTCCTCATATTGCTTCGTCTCTGCTTCATCATTGCTCCCTCACGACTTGTTCACTTCTTGCTCAGAATATGGTTGACATGTCTTCACATTTCCTCAACATTTCCTCATCCAGATGCATTTGGTGTTGTCTTTGGCACTTGGTGGATGCAGACACAGACCTCCGATGAACAAGGACAAGTTGGTGTTGGCAGACTTGACAAGTTCAGACGCAGATGAGCAGATGGATCAAAGACACATGCCCCAAATGTAGTGTTGGCAGACTTGACAAGTTCAGACGCAGATGAGCAGATGGATCAAAGACGCATGCCCCAAATGTAGTTCATGGGGGGGTGTGAGCACATATATATATATATATATATATACATATGTATATATATATAGACACATACATATATATATATATATGTAAGCTGCCTACAAACCCAAAATCCAATGCTAAGATGATGGTTCGCAAGCCAATTCGATGAAGCATGCGTCAATAGATTCTTACCCGGCCATGAGCATGGAATCTGCCCGGGGCTTGGAACTCCGTTTTGCAAGCCTGTAAAGAGTGGCTGTCGATACCCTAGAGGCTCTAGAGCCCTGATTTCCGCAGGCGAAAGGGTTTAAAGGTGAGCGCTTTTTCTGGTCGGGGATCCCTGGTCCTAATCCATAATCCGTAATGGGAAACCACCAAGGATTGTGTTTGAACAACCTGTCATGGTCCGTTCCAACGGGGGCCACAGAGAGCCATTTGGGCGCCCCACACCGGCCACTGCGGCGCCAGCACCCATCGCAGGGCGACAAAACCCCTTGCAGGAAAGGCGAAAGAGTGTGGGAAAATGCGCATAAAATATCATTAAAGATTCAGAGTGCGATTCTTGGTTTCTCATTGAGGGGTCCATGACAACTGGTTCAGGCGCCATGGGTCTTGGGGAAAGTGAGAAACATGTGCGGCGATGGCAGGGCGTCACTTCTCACTCCAGACGGGCTTCGCAAAAAAGGAAACGAGCCGCAAGGGCGAGTTGGGTCTGATGGCCCTAGGGTGCCTCATGAAACCAACGGCAAACAACTCTAAACACAAATGCAATCATGCCCAAAACAAGCAAGGGTGCGTGGGGTGGGGCTGGTGTTGAGTTTCCGGCATCAGCTAGAGCTCAAATGAGGGTTGCCGCCCAATTCCGAAAGGCGGAAGTTCAGTTTTTTTGAGGGTACCCTTTTGGTGTTGGTTAGAGGGAAGCTGAAGGAACATCGCCATTTTAAGGATCCCTCAAATTTGGCAGCCCAAGTGATTTCGCGATTTATGCAACCCAGGGTGTTGGAGAGTTCGGGAAGGTTCCAGAAGAATCTGAGCACCGAAACATTCGGCTCGTTCTTAATTTCGGACATGCCTACGTAAACCACCAAACAGGAACTTGCAGCTACCCAACAAAACACAAAGCCGGAGCTAGAGGCGGAAGACCCAAGCAACCGGATCCGGGAGACTCAAAATGGTTGCTCTAAACACGAAGAAGGACCCAATCCACCAAACAGGAAGGACAAATCAATTGGGGCCGGTGAGCAGGACTAGCAAGGCAAGTCATCTGATTGGGATCTCTGCCTGTCATGACAATGTCTCTTTGACACCAAAGAGACAGGCAAAGGGAAAAAGCTCCTGAAGCAAAAATGCATCAAAGTCGAGAATACAAGAATACCCTAAGCAAATGGAAGTCTGCAACTGCCTGTCTTCAAATTGGAATTCCGGAAACCAAAACAGCAACCACCCATAGAGATCTAACTCAATTTTTGCCAAAACATCCACATGGGGTTGTGTCAAAACAGGGAACCAACAATCTCAAAAGCATGGTGGTTGTCCGGTTGGATTCCCTTTAAACCAATGTGCAATAGGTACCTGAACAAACGCACACACACACAGTCCCAAATGATTCTCAGTTGTGTCGCGCAGCGGAATTCGTGGGCTGCAAGCTCGAGTGAGCACCTTTTTGCCAGACTGAAGTCACAAACAAGATCAAGGCTGGAAAACCGGCATCAAACACTTGAAGCTACGGCAGCCACAGCACCGTCCGTGCAAAAGAATCCTCATCCGAGGAGCAAAGATCCTCAATCCTATGCCTTGATGTCTTGGAAGCTCTTTGGATCTGTGAAGAAAAATGACGAGCATGTCGTTAGGGCGAAGCCCTCTCGATCACTAGATGCACATGAGCCAAGGGCTCGCATTCAGTTGGGAGCTTGAGTGTGGCTCAAGTATTGCTGGCTCTTACGATGTTAAGTCGGCACCTTCGCCGATCAAATGTGTGTGGGCCCCTTTCGATCGCCTTCCGGACAAACAGAACTGGCCTTGCAAAACTGTGCCTTTGCCAGGGCGCAAGCTTTGCCTGCGCCACGAACAGGCGACAGTGGAAGTGTCATAAGCCAATCATAAACCGTCATTGGCTGTGGAGTGAAGCCTACACGCACCACACTTACTTGGGCTGCGCTAGCGCTTGCATTCCGAGTTCAAACCAGCTCAATATTTTTCCTTTGATGCCATCCAGACACAGGGCGACTCCCTAAAAGAGGGACGATCTCAAGTTATTTGGTCGGCTGGTTGGTGAGTCTAGCCGTCCGCCCACATGTGCGTGCACCCGCGGTGCCTGGCCTGCATTTCTCGCAGGCCTCACAGTGGCCGTTTTTGCAGTTAGCCCTCTCGATGACTAGATGCACATGAGCCAAGGGCTCGCATTCAGTTGGGAGCTTGAGTGTGGCTCAAGTATTGCTGGCTCTTATGATGTTAAGTCGGCACCTTCGCCGATCAAATGTGTTCGGGCCCCTTTCGATCGCCTTCCGGGCAAACAGAACGGGCCTTGCAAAACTGTGCCTTTGCCAGGGCGCAAGCTTTGCCTGCGCCACGAACAGGCGACAGTGGAAGTGTCATAAGCCAATCATAAACCGTCATTGGCTGTGGAGTGAAGCCTACACGCACCACACTTACTTGGGCTGCGCTAGCGCTTGCATTCCGAGTTCAAACCAGCTCAATATTTTTCCTTTGATGCCATCCAGACACAGGGCGCTTCCCTAAAAGAGGGACGATCTCAAGATATTTGGTCGGCTCTAGCCGTCCCCCACATGTGCCTGCACCCGCGGTGCCTGCCTGCATTTCTCGCAGGCTTTGCACTGCACCCATTTGGCATGGCTTACTTGGATCTATGTCCACCAGCCATGTTGGCCTTCTGTTGCACCTGCATCCTGTTCAACCCGAGCCGAACGCTGCTCGCGCAATGGCAGCGCTATTGAAAGGTTGCCGAATTCCGAAAAGAGCTATTGAGGATGCTGCAAGTCTGCTTTTGGAAATAATGTAATGTCGACTCCGGATTGAAATACAACCTGGTGGACGTATGGCGTGTTCCCTTAAATGGGACACCCCCATCAGAGATGCTCCTCGCCCATTTGAAACGGCCCATTGCTTACCCAATGGCCAAACTTTCCAGTGCAGCGCGACAGAAAAAACTTGAAGCCAGCACTCGAGCCTCCTTGCCAAAGGCAACTTGCTCGAGACTTGTTGACGCCACTTGAAGGACCCAATTCTACTCCGAAAATCAATGATTTGATGCCTGAGAAGCAAGAAGCGAATCCGTGGCCGTCCACACATCCCAAGTTGGCACGCACGGTTGTTCTGAGCTTGCACACCTGCACATGGCGTTACTCTCTGGATTCGAGCGTTGAAATCAACCGAATGTTTGCAAAAGATGCGCGTGAAGTCTGTCGATTGGACCTCAAGTTCCCCCAATACGGCTGTTCCAGAACAATCGTGCTTACGGCTCAGCTCGCAGTGGCGTTGGGCCAGCCTGCGGCCCCCGCCGGGCAGCCGCGCGGGCTGCTTGGGCCCGCGCCTGGCGTTGCAACTTGAGCTTGCGCCGCTTCATCTCCTCCCGTCTCAGAAAAAAATGGGAAAACTCTGGTGGACGGTGGAAGGGCCGTTTTGCCGGTTGGTCAGGCGCGCACGCAAGAATCGCAAAAAGTCCCCAGTTCTTTGACCTCGACCGCGCGGATCTCCGCAAAGAGGGCATGCGGGCAGATCAGAAATCGTAAGAGGTCCCCAGTTTTTTTTGACCACGAGCAGGCTCATCTTCGCAGAGGGTTGCGCGCGGAAATCGTGAAAAGTCCGCAAATCTCCGCAGATTGCGACCAAGCGCTGATCAAACTCCAACCCCGGCGCCCTGGAAACCTAAACTAACTTACACAGCTGCTCACACCCAAGCTCTTTCAACTTGGCTCTGTGCTACTTGGCTCTGTGCAACTTGGCTGTGCAATTTGGCTCTGTGCAATTGGGTCCAAGGGGCTCCGCAAGGAAGAACCCTTCGCGATGCTTTCGGGAAAAATGCATCTATATATGTATATATATACATCATATATATATATATATGTGTGTGTGTGCACCCCTATCATTCCCTCCGTCTCTCTCTCTCACTCTCTCTCTCTCTCTCTCTCTGTCTCTCTCTCTCTCTCTCACTCTCTCTCTCTCTCTCTCTCTCTCTCTCTCTCTGTCTCTCTCTCTCACTCTCTCTCTCTCTCTCTCTCTATCTATCCTTATTTCTCTATCTACCTATCTATGTATCCATCTACTCTCTCTCTCTCTCTCTCTATGTAAATCCATCTATGTATCTATCTATCCGTCCCTCTATCTTTCTATCTGTCTGTCTATTTATCTATCTGTCTATCATCTAGCTAGATCTGCCTTTTTCTCTCTTCTCTCTCTCTCTCTCTCCCGCTTTCTCGCTCTCTCGCTCTCTCTCTCTCTCTCGCTCTCTCTCTCTTTATCTGTCCATCCGTATATCTGGCTGTCTATCTGTCTGTCTGTCTGTCTGTCCATCCGTATATCTGGCTGTCTATCTGTCTATCTGTCTATCTGTCTATCTGTCTGTCTGTCTGTCTGTCTGTCTGTCTGTCTGTCTGTCTGTCTGTCTGTCTGTCTGTCTGTCTGTCTGTCTGTCTGTCTGTCTGTCTGTCTGTTTACCAGGGTCTATGTCTCGCGAACTATCTATCTATCTTTCTTTCTTTTTCACCTATGTATCTGTATAATATATATATATATATGGGTGGTTATCCATCTTTCTTTTCATCTCTCGCTCTCTCTCTCCCTCCCTCTATCTCTCTATCTGTCTATCTGTTTGTCTATCTATCCATCTATGTCTCTCTCTCTTTCTCTTTCTCTTTCTCTCTCTCTCTCTCTCTCTCGCTCTCTCTACTGATCTGTCTGCTCTCCATCTCTCTATCTCTCTATCTCTCTATCACACAGTTTACTCATCAAGAGCTCAACATAAGCAAAGTGAGCGCAAATGGCAAAAACAGACTTGCACGCGAAAGAAAAGCACAAGTGCTCTGCCATAGTCCCCTGCCCTCCGGGTGAAGGTAGACACATCTCCCCGTGTAATAGAGGGCATGGAACCAAATGGAGGCCATTCCGTGTTTTCACAGTATAATCCTACTTCTCTTTCTTGACAAAGCTGGGGGCGCTACGGGCGTCGTTTGGGATGTGAAGCGACTGGCTTTGGCTTGACGGTGTCCAGTTCGGCAGCTGTGAAAGCGTGTATTTTCTAGAGTTTTGCTGATTTACGCTTTTATGCAAGTCCATACCCTAGTGTTCAATCCACCCGGCGTAGCCTACTATGGGATGTGAATGATGTAAGAAAACAAAATCCACAACCGACTTGTCAAGATTGCTGGCAAGCAAGTCTGCTACCCCTTCAAGGCCGTCTCTCGGGGCCAGTTGGTTCTATTACAAGGCCTGCCAGGGGCCTTGTGCCTTCACAGACCAACCCAACTTTACAAAAGCTCGCTACGGCCATGTCAAGAATCGGTGCGCTGATGATGTTGCTTACGGGCCCCAGCACCCCTAACATCCCCAACAGCACTGGAAATTCCTTTGCCAAACCCAGAGGAAGCTGCCCAAATTCACCAAGAGCCCGTTGGGAACACGCTGAGTCGCTGGGTCCTGCAAGGTGCAAATGTGGCACCTGTCGCACTGGTCGCCCTTGCGACACCCGTCACCCTTGCGCCGGAAGAAGAGGCATGGCAGGCACCTGTGCGCAAGCCGAGGTGTGTTTGCGCGAACCGAAGCCTATCGCTGTACACGTGACAAAGCACACGTCCGCAATATGACAAAACACAGCTGGAGCTGTCTGAGCAGGTGTTCTTTCGTCAATATGACATTTGGGCACCTCAGGCTGTGCAGTCCAGTAGGGGCGCTTCCCCTCATCTCGTTTCCTCCTTCAATGCTCAATGCTCCTGCCCTGTTCGCGGCACTTTTGTGGTCTTTGTCCATGTCGATCAAAACTCTCATCAACTGGAGCCTGCTTCCTCTCTTGCTTTGCTTGGCTTCTGCAGTCTCCTCAACTTTCAGCTTTCCTCTTCCAAGGTGGCTTTAGTCGACCTCCAGCCCAATAGACCGACCCATCCCTTTGAGGCTCCACTTGACGCAAGTTTTGCTGACGTCAAGCGTTTTCGTCCACGGACCGGAGACGTGTGCCGCCAACAAACGGTAAAGCTGCTGGGGGAGTCGACCACTTTTGTTGCTGACGCGACATCTACTTTTGGTAAGCATCCCTTTACTGAAGCACTACTGGTGATGCTGTGGATGTCGACCCCTATGGCTTGTGGACCCACCTTTAGCAAGCGGAAGGGCATGTCTTTTGCTAAAACACTGATGCTGGTGGAGTCGACCACTTCAGTCAACAAAGACCATCCAAAGCAGACGAGATATGTCGAGCTCGAAAAGTGCAATTTGTAGGATGGCTTAAGGACTTTGATGGGGTCGAATGACTTTGAAAACTCGCGTTTGAAAGCCGCGACATCTACTTGTCTTCAGAGAGCTGATCAAACTTCAGACGATTCAGTCTCCCTCACCTTGCCGCGCCTGTGCTCAACGTGAGTCGACTCAAGCTTGAAGCGGAAAAGCGTTTCCTGGATCATGCGCTGGTGCTGCCGCAGATGTCGACAGAGTCATGCGCTCGAAAAGTGCAGCTTCGTAGTTTGCTTTGCAAACAACTTTGATGCCGTCGAACGACTCCGAAAACTCAAGTCCGGAAGCCGTGACATCCACCCTTGCGACGAACCAAAACACAACTACACGAGATTCTCCCGCACCTTGCCGCAAGGGCTCACATTGAACCGTCTCAAGATTCAAACCTTGACGTCCTGGGTTAGGCTGCGCCGGGCAGGAGGGCGCAGGGCCGGGTTCACCATTATATGTATGTATATATATATATATATACATTGCTCACCTGAGCATTGAATCCGGTAGAAAGGGTAATGCTCCAAGTGGCCACGTTAGTTCGTTTGAGGAACCCTGGCCGTAAGACACCAGTGCCAAAGCAAGTTCTAGCCTAAGAATTGGTTGCTTGACCAAGCCATGCGCTATGATTACAAGGCGTCGTCTTCCCTTCTGTCTGCGAATGCCACCAAACTGTCTATGACACTTCTAGTACCCTGCTGTCAGTCGCGTCTCCAATTCCAGTGCCCAGGAAAGTTTACAAGCTGAAGGCCAAGTTCCCTTATATCTTGTCACGTAAGCGGAATCCCAATATTTTGAACCGCAAAGCACCGTCATTTGGCCAGAGTCGCCCTTTTGTTTGAGATGGTTGTGTGGTTGTGTGTTTGCTTCTTGGCTATTTAAAGGTTAGCCGGCGGGAAGCTACCCACCAACAAAGGTTCCCTTCCTTGCGAAGATTCAGGACTCGACCCAAGAAGCTTGTCACGCGCAGCGGGTACAAGAATAAGAAAGTACAAAACAAGCATAAGCCAAGCAGTCAAACGACCAAATACAAGACCAATTGTCCAAGAACCAAAGAAGACAAAAGCATAATCCCAGCCCGGCGCATGTCTTAGTGTGTGGTAAACCAAGGATCCCTTTTCTGGTTCAAGCAATTGGTCCAAGAACCAAAAACTCAACCAAGCATCAAAGAAGCAGAAAGCCAAAGAGGAAATTCAAGAGATCGATCCCAAACCCGCCTTCCATTGCGGTGCAGCGCCAGCCCCAGCGGCTCCTCCCACGGCTTCTCCCAGGTCGTCAACACGGGGCTGGAGGCGCTGCGGCCCAAGGCTCCAGCCGCAGGCGAATCAGCCGCAAGCCTCACTTTGCGGAGTTTCGAGTCTGATGCGACGCCTTGTTGAACCACGCTTGCCTCGAAAACGTTTGAACCAACCAACTGTTGAAGCTTCCTTATGGTGTCCAGCCCCTTGTGCGAACCGTTAAATCACTGCTCCCCTGGAGGGCGCGTTTCTGGGCAACCACGGGCCGTGAACGCCAAATCGCAGCTCTTCAACCAAACCCTTGGCCCAACCCCTGTTCAAACATGGTTGAACAGGGCCTTACTGGTCCGCCTTTCAAGGGCTTGCACCAAAGTTGCCCAATCCTGGCCCCACTAACCACCCTGTCAAATGACACCACGGGATAAGGCTCAAGCCGAAAGAAAAAGCCGAAGGCCACATACGTTAGGGATCCTTCGGCTGCTGAGTTGCAGGGTCCCTGAAACAAGTGTCCAACTACATGTCCGCGGCAAAGCAAAACGCATGGCGCTTCAGACAATATATCCCCTTTAAACATCACCCCAAAAGGGGAGATCTTAACATGGCCAAGCAGGCGCAGTCCATTCACAGGGTTTCAGCGCATTATAACCCTCTTCCAGCTGCTGAATGTGGCATTGGCTTCAAAAAACACATGTTGCCTCTATTCATCAGGTCTTGCGTTCAGCTTCAGAGACTCCTCCAAATGCATCGGAAAAAAGAAGGACATAAACCCTCAAAGCAGCTGAAGCCAGCAACAAAGCAAGAACAAGAACACTACTAGAATTCAAGAAATCAACATGCAACTTCTCCAACGTAGAAGCCTCTTCTTGGCACTCCACCTGCCTCACACCCTGGCAACAACTGACCTGGAATCTCCCATGACCATCCTTTGGCAGCACGAACCCGTAGATTTATCAACCCCTGAGCAAGAAGCGTACCCAGGTTCAATAGAAACTCCTGTCATTTCCGCAAGATCTAAGGCACGTTTTGTCTTGGGATGTAATTTGTTTTTTCACTGGTGTAAGATGCTTCTCGGGAAGGAAGGGCTTCAGCCCAGGCGGATAAAACTAAAGACGAAAACGTAGGGACCGAAGCGTTCGTTCTCGAGCGGCGTCGCCAGGCTTGCCCAGGGCTCCACCTCCACGGACCCATTCCGGATGACCACGGCCCACAGCTCGTGGTCCGGGCCCTCAACCGAAAACCCGGGTTAGAAAGGATCCGAAACCACGGGTTGTGTTTTGGGTGGGTTGTTGGTGGGGTTATGAGGAAAGATTGCTGTTTGCAGGAACAGCGGAAAAGGAACCTAGGGAAGCTCAAACGGAAGCACCAAAAGCAACGCTGGGAAACGAGCTCTATGACAATGCCCCAAATTCGCCAAAGCAATTTCTTGCTTTGGTGTTGCCCCATTTCCTGGAGATGCTCCTGAAGCTTTAGCACAAGACGCGCCAGCAAACCAGGCAAATGGGATAAATCTCATAGTCAAGTGCTGCAACAAGCCAAAGTGTTGCAAGGATCTTAACCTGTACGGCGAAAAAAGAAAGGTGCGAGAGGTCTCTGTGGAGATCGCCATTCACGCCAAAATGCAAAAAGCCAATATCATTTGTGGAAGTGTGGCCTTGTCGTGACCGGCCTCCATGGTGGCAATGATGCTGTTGAGAGCCATTACGAATCCGCTCGCGAGCGCAGGCCGCACACAGGCACTGTCTCAGCTACGGGAGACGAAATGGGACTCAAGTGTGAGCAAGGTAGAAATGAGCCAAAAGGAAGCCTTCAAGCATCATCCTGGCCAATCCGGTGCCCTTCCAAAAAACGAGTCGAAATTGCAACCGAACGCGCCGCGAGTGAGGCTCCAAATGTGACACCATGCCCCTTGCGGAAGCACGCTTTTTATTGGTAGGGCTCTGCCTGCGTGTGCATGGGCTGCGAGAAGTCATGTGCACTGGAAACGCAGGACTAGCCATGGTCTTTCACAATTATCCCCAGAGCCCCATGTCCAGTGCCTTGAAATGGTGCATGGGCTCACTAAGGACTCTGTCTCTTCGCGTCGGCTGGCCGGCGGATTTGCGGCGGCCAACACCAACACTCGGACGATACCAGGTCATGGGATAAGTTTGAATTGGCCCGTCTGAAGGGTTGCCCACATTGGCCAACGCAGATGTTCGGGTGTTTGGTGCAACGTGCTGATATCCGGGAATGCACGCACGAGTGCGTTGATGTATTGCTGGTGGCAGGCCAAGCGCTAGCCGAGGATGCTGTTTGGCAGTTGAGAACTGCCAAACTGCGAACGCAACTGAATGATCCTCGGGCGAAGTCTTGGGAGTCTGGGAGTAAGGTCGTGCTCGCTGGTCCAGCACGTGCATCCCGAAGAATCTGAAAACGGTCAAAAGTGGTCGAAGGCGGCATGCACTTGCTTCTTGCTTCACCGGTGTGCCGTTTGAGGTGTTTGGGGTTGTCCTTGTGATGCGTGGATATCTGCTGGGCGGCGACCGTGAATGTGCACCTGTTTTTGCGATCACGTTACTCAGCGTGCGAGATGCATCCTGACGCTATCAGCCCGCCAAAGTCAGAAGCGCTGCAAGTGACAGCGAGCGGAATGAGTGGAGTGAACAAAGTGAGTGGAGTGGTCTCTGACTGTGAGAACAAGCTTTGCCCATTCTAGGTCGGTGGAAGGCCGCTTGCCTTTGTGAATTGGATGTCAGTACTTTAACAACATGGGTGGGGCCCACCGCCTCTAGGTGGGCCAGGACTTTGCCAGGCTTGCCCCTGGACTGAAAGGCCATCAAATTTGTGAGACGCGAAAACGGAAGAGAAAAGGGAACAAGTACCCGCCAAGCACCCAGATCACTGGAATTCCAATTGCACAGGCGTGCAAATGGTCGGCCAGCGAAGGCCCAGTTCACAACCCACTGCTCCACTCACTCCACTCACTCGGCTTGTGGAGAGCATCGGAGCCTGGGACCCTCCGGCTGCCAAAGAAGTTACCCAGGCAGCCGGGGCACGAGAGCGAGCGGTTGCCCCGGACAGCACGGGCGGTTGCTGCAAGAACTTTGCATCGCGGCAGGCGCACACCGCGCCAGGGCGGTGCGCGCCGAGCTGGCTGCTGAGGCCCCTTGCCGGTGGCAGGCTGACGAGTAGCTAGGCAATCCTACCAGCTTTGTCGCGCATGTGGAGCACGGGCTCAAAGAGCAGCAAATAGAGCAAGCTGGAGGATCTGGGCCACACGAAGTGAGTGTAGTCAATGGATTGCCAATGGATTGCAGTGGGAGTGAGTTGAGTGAGCTGGGTGAGTGGAGTGAAAGGAGTACGTGGAGTGATGGGTGCAAGTGGAGTGAGGGGAGTGAAAGGAGTGAGTGGAGTGCGAGGAGTGAGTGCGGAGCGGTGGAGTGAGAGGAGTGAGGGTTGTAAGTGGGGTGAGTGGAGCGAGTGGAGTGCTTGGGGTGAGTGGCACAAGTGGGGTCAGCTGGGGGGAGTGGGGCGGGAGTGAGGTGAGCGAGGGGAGTGAGGTTAGTGGGGTGAGTGAGTGGAGTGAGTGGAGTGAGATGGAGTTGAGGCGGCTATCCATTTTGTTCATATATATATATATATAATCAAGAATCTATGTGTTGTTAATTCACAATACATAGCCATCTGGTTTGTGTGTGTTGCACATTTGCCGGGCCTCCCTGGCCAATCTGCTGGGTCCCCTCAACCGGGCCGAAAAACGAGCCAGAGGCACGCGGCTGTTGGCTGCATGCGTCCAGCGGGAGAAGAATGAATTTGACTCCCCTTTGCAAGGAGACGACCCTGCAGTTTTTACTCTGCAGGCCACATTGACAAGCGGCAGAGGCCCCAGCATGCCATAAGAACTGACAAAAATCCACCCAGCAATTCTTGCATGATACTGTTGATTCAGCATGTGACACCATCTGACACCATTCGGCACATCTGACACCATGGGGAGCAAGCTTGAGCGATGCCAAAGGGCATCTGATGCTATCTTCAGATTGGATGTATTGCACGGGAACAGGTCCCGTCAAAATGTCCTGGCTGTAAACCGTCTCTACAGAGAAGGTCGAGCCAAACAGTGAACCGAACATGAAAAGGTCAAGGCAATCGAAACTTCAACAAGCGAATTTGCTTTGGACCATTGCTGTTTGGGATAGAAAAGCACGTTCCCGTGGCAAAACAATCCTCCAGCAGGAAATCCCCACTGAAAAGGGCCACCTTGACTCGCAACTGGGGTTGTACGGTCAACGTCTAGCGCGTCGGCCGTTAGTTCCCCCAAAGTCAACTCCGTACGTTGCAGGGCGCACTGCGTACCCAGTAAAATGAAGGCTAATAAAGCTGTAGAAATCGATTCTACTGCTAGCCTGTCTGACATGGTGCAGTAAGAGTTCTTCAAACTGAAGACAGTCTTCACAAAATTGCCAGTATCCCACACAAGGCAGAGAAGCCTGTTGCAAGTTCAATCCACTTGAGCAACGCTTGTCATGCGCCAAAGGGGAGCCCAATCTTGCTGCCAGTTTGCGGGATACTTGTTGCTGCCAAAATCATGCATGGCCGCTGCGCCCATTGGGATGGGCTGAACGCTCAGCTTGCGGTGCGGTTTGGTTTTGGCGGGCTTGTGCCCTCTTCGCACGCTGTAGGCGGTGCTTCCGGCGCTTCATCTCCTGAAGAAATGGGTGTCTTTTTGAGGATACCTGTTTCAACAAAAGGGCAACACGCATCAGAATGAAAGAGCTTACCGGCTTACCCTTACCTGCATCGGTAGCACATCCGTCACTTGCGGGACCTTCCAAAAGAAAGCCAGATGTTCCAAAAAAACTACACACGTCCCCAGACCGGGAAAATAAAATGAACAAACAGAGGCAAAGTCAAGGTCCCCACACAAGCCCTGCGGGGCCCTGTGGGGGCTCCATCGTTCAAGACCCTAACCCGAAGCCCCAGAGTCCAAGCTTCAAGCCCTCCGAGCCCTGCAGCCTCCAGATTTCTGGGAGAGCTCAACGGTTCGAACGGTTGAGAGTGGGTTCAGGATGTGAAGCGGTGTTCTGCTGAGGGTGTCGGGTGGGTTTCAGGTGTTTCGGCAGCGGTGGGTTCAGCGTTTTGCATTGGTGGGTTGGAGGGTTGGCAAGATTTGACTTGCAGGTTTGAGCTTGGTCAAAAATGTTAAAACGTGCAAAAGCGTGCCAAAAAATGACTATAAAAACAAATGCAGAAACGTCCGAAGCTCGAATCTTCTTTTGAACCGCAAATCTGCAAAGTCGAAATCAAGCAACTCCTTGTAGTTTGGTTTGGAGTGGTTTAAGGTTGCTTCAGGTCTGGCGGTGTGGGAAGCATGTTGCTTCCTTGTCTTTGTCCTTTTCCTTTGCCTTGTCCCTTTGCGTTCCTTCCCTGTCAGCCTCTTATCCTTTTCCTGTTCCTTACCTTTCCTCGCCCTTGCCCTTTCTCTTTGCTTTTTCCTTTCCCTTCCCTTCGCTTACCTCTCACTCTCCTGTCCTTTTCCTGCTCCTTCTCCTTTCCTTGCCTTTCGCTTCCTTGGCGTTCCTTTCCGTGCCGTTGTTTGCCTTTCCTTCCCTTTCCCAGCCTTCCCTTCCCTTCCTTCCCGCACCTGGAAACCAACCGAAGCGCCGCAAAAGGAATCAGCGGCTTGGAGGTCACTCATCTTAACATCCTTTGACGAATGGATAGACTAATCTTCGGGGAAAGAAGTCTTAATACTCCTGTGGTTTCTTTAATGCTCTTATACTCACGTCCGCCGACAACAAGGCGGCGTGTTGGACATAAGAAATGTTCCTTACCTCTTTACCTGTTCCCCTCCCCTTACCCCTCCCCAGCGCCACGATTTCAGATTATTGCGGGGGGGGGTGAGGCCCACTGCCCCAGGTGCCTATCCCCGAAGGGAACTGGAACTTTGTGGTAGTTGAGGTCGTTGTTGGTCCCTGCATCTATTCCGGAGAGAGTCCAATATGCCAGTACTGGATGATTGGAGGATGGATTGTCCCTGGTGGATTGTCTTGTGGATAATCCTGTAAGCGGCCTGCAACGGCTCTTTTGTCCTCACGCTCGGATGGTCGTGATTATGCAAAAGGGGCCTTGAGCCAAATGTTGCGGGAGATCAATGGTCTGAGAAACAGAACACAAAACAGACACAAATTTCTTTTGATCTCCAGCACAAAGTATGAAATACTATTGGCTTCATGGCCTTTGACCGTAGCCATAATGTGTGCCGTAGCCATGTGATTAAAAGTGCCGGATTCATCCTTTTTCTGCTTGGATGAAATGTCTTGGCCTCCGAAATGGGAAACACTATGTACGCTTCTTTTTGGATACCTAATTGTATCAAAGGGTGATGTACAACGCTATGTGCACGCGGAACAATTGTGAAACTATTGATCTCTCACTCATGGTATAGTCTTGTAGACGAGGAGGATCAATCATCTGGATTGCTCGTGGTGCTGAACGTATCTTCATGGTCAGTCGGATCGACGATACCATCGGCGGCTGCTGTCGGATTGACTGCCATGGTCTCCATAATCATTCCAGGTCGAAGTGCTATAGTCCTTCCACTGCTTCTGATATCCCCACTGCTTGTTGTAGTCCTTGTACTCCTGTGTGGTCCAGGATGATTGTCTCTTCTTGACGTAATCCTGGTATCTCTCAGAGTTGCGTTTACTGGTTGCAGACTTGCTGCGGATGTAAACCATGAGCGGACTGTGGGAGTCGGAGTCCTGCGAGCCGTTCATGAACATTTCATTGTTCACGTGCTTGTAGCGCTCTGCGGATGAGACCTGGTAATCGAATATTGCCTTGGTTGGATGGTTCCGCATGAATTCCGTCAAATTGGGATGAGCTCCTTTCGGATCTTTGTTGAACTGGTTCATGAAGCGTTTGAGTTCTTCCTTGATCCCCGCGAGCTCTTCCTCTGCGTCCTTTTTGTTCTTATCTATTTCGAGATAGATTCCCTTGAGTTCTTGGATGAACTCTTCTAGGTTCTCTGAATTGTGATATTCCACGATGACCTTCGGCTTGACGGATCTTTCCCCGGAGGGTTCCATCATCTCTCCTTCGGTGGAGTCCTGATCGGTGGAATGCCGTCTCTTCTTGGTCTCTGAGGAAGTATCTTTTTCCTTGTTGTGCTTGGTGGAATTCACATGCTTGAAGAAGGCATCGGCGAATTCGCGGATCTTGGTGTCATACATCTCGAAGTCTTCATAATCGAGGTGCTTCTTCATGATCCACTTGTTGCTCGCCATGAGGGTGCCATCGGGTTCAAATGCTGCAACAATGTTTCTTGCCTCGATGGTTTGCTCTGTCAACGCTGTTCTCTCTTCGGAGAGACGGATGCCATAGTCTTGGTCCTTGAGAAATGCAAGGATCAACAGTGCATCTCTTCCTGCTGGCACATGGGTCAATGCGGTTTCTGACTCATCGTCTTCGAGGATGACGTCATCGATGCATGCCATGTCGACGTGCATTGTCCCTGAAGGGTTTGACTGGGACTTCCCAGGTTTGAGCCCGTGCTCCATGATGCTGTAGAGCTGATTTCCATAGGTTGCATGGAACATGAATGTGATGGGCTTCTTCGAGAACGGCTTTATCTTTCTCTCTTCTTCAGCGGATGGTGGCGCCGGCCTTCGCATTCTGTACTTGGGCTGAGCTGTGCTTTCATCTCCATGAGGCGCCTCGGATCTTGACGGACGCGGACTTGGCGGAATGGATTCCGTTGGTAGATCATAGTCCGGTTCGTCGTAATGAGGCTCTTTCTGCTCTTGAGAAAAGGGGTCGTCCAAAGGATTGGATATCGACTTGTCGTGTGTGTGTCCGCTGTTGCATCTCACATAGAACTCCATCTCTGGATCAACATAGAAGTCCTTGCCGTCGGGCCTGAGTCCACTTCTTGCGGATCTGGTGTTGAGCTTGTCGATCCATCGATTCCTTGGAACAATTTCTCCCCGTGTCATTATATGTCCCGTCCACGGATGGAAATACGAACGCAATTTCGAAACGTGATTTTCCATAGCTCGGGAACATAGCCATCAAGAGAAGTCCTGGCTTATTTCCAATGAAGTTCCTGGCATGTGTGATGCAGGTCAATGCGTCATAGAGCTCGACGGATCCATCAGGACCCATTTCCACCTGCCGTTTGCATTCCTTATGGGTTCCATGCCTTGGATCATGTCGAAGACATCCGGAAAACGATCTGCTCGTTCTCTCAATTCGCCAGAGGATGAAATCTGTGATCTGTTTCGCCTTGGATGGTTCCATGCGGAAGTATTTGCAAACCTGTTCAACATTCTGGACGGTCTTATTGAGATCAATGTTGCCGTTGTGGCATACCATCGGGATGACGTCGGTTCCGTAAACTTCGGATTGAGCATTGGTGTAGCAGCAGATGCTGTAGACCTTCTTGATGAAGTCCATGTATTGCTTCTCTGCATGGGGTCCTTCACCTTGGAGTGTTGGATGCCAGTAATCATTGAATCTTGCCTTCAACCAGAATACCTTAACTCCATGCGGTCTCTCGTGCTCAGGAACGAAGTGGAAGTCCGGATTGACATCGTGGATGGTTGAGCATTCCTTGTAGTACTCGTGCACAAAAGTCAGGAATTTTGAGTTTCCGAATGGTCCTGGGTGCACGGATTCCTTCTGGAGGCTGATGTTCGTATCCGATCCATATGTTACAAACCACCGATCGTTGGATGTGGATTCCGTCTCGTCATCCAGGGTGTTCTTTGGCGCTGGCTTGACCTTGGAGACAAGCCTCAATGTCGGCGGCGGTGACTTTGGAACAAGTTTGGGATGTGGCATCGCCTTTGACAAAGGCCTTCTTTCGAGAGGATGCCCTTCTTCATCGGAATCATCATCATCGGAATCTCGATCATAATCAACCTGCTCCATGTTGACATTCTCGGGTTGTTGAGAGGCGGATGGATTTTCATCAGCGACTTGCTCCATAGGGCAATCGGATGTCTCATCTTCCTCATCACGAGCAGGGGATTCCTTCAATGGTGACGCCCGTCTCTTGATCATCGGCTTTGGCACAGGTGCCGCATCGCCGGATCGTCCGAAGATCATGTTGAGAATGGGCATGTCTTCGAAGTGATCGAGCATACAAGATTGCAAAGGCCGGATTGGTTGTAAACCGAAAGTGGCTGCAGAGGCAGACACATACTTCTTGAGATTCAAAATGGGTCAAGTGCAAACACGCGCATCACGGAATTGAGGAATTGAAAATATGCAAAACTGAAAAACTCATGCATCAGAATTCGTGGACATGCGGATCATGCCCAGGTTCCCCAATAAGCAAACATGGATTCTGCTATACCGACTCCTGCAAAGGCAATGATGTCGGGTCCGTGCTTCGTGTTGTGTGCTAGCCACTCAACCAAGAATGCCTTGTTCTGCAACATGGTACGAAAAGGTGGATGTGCATCTACATTCAAGAGATTGCCGGTGAGGACGGCCTTGATGAGCTCGTCTGCTTTAGCTGAATGCTTGGTCAGTGAATCTGCCAGACAATCTTCACTTCGTACATGTGCAAGGTCGTGCATCTGTCCACTGTTGCTTTCCTTTCTCAACATCTGGATCAAATGCATTGTTTCTTTCTGTTCCGGTTGATGTGTTGTGGATGCTGTAGTGACAAGATGGTTCGCATCAGTGCGTATGTGTA